TTGTAAGGATCGGAAACAACCAAGTGAAAGAGATAAACAATGCAAAGATCATAAATGTAACAATAAGTAAAAGGAAAGAATTGCAAACCAATTAACTACCCAGCTCCTCTTGAGCTTCAAACAAGCTACTTCAAATTGATGAATTACAATCACTCTTGTGTATAAAGGAAGGTTCACCTCCTCCTTGCCCCGAACTCTCTCGGTCAAGCCAGGACGTTTTACTATCCCTCAGGACAACCCTCACAGAGCTACACTCATGAAGTATTCACTCACAAATGAAAAGCTTACAATGAACCTCACACCACTAAGACTACAAATCTTCTTTGAAGAGTATTTTCTCACTAAAATCTCTCTAGATCTTTTGTATCTTCAGTGTGCCAAAGTTATTTGAAGTATCTGACCAACCACTATTTATATAGGATCAAGAAAGTGCCTCATTAGTGCTTCCAACGGATAGAAAATAGCTGAAGAGTCAACTAGCCGTTGGAGTGTCGGACGTCCGATAGCCCTGTTTTATGCGTCCGACAGCAGGCAGTGAGTTTGAGAAATTTTCTTCAATTCTTTCGGACGTCCGGTAGGTTGGTTTTCTGCGTCCGAAGTGACGCAACGATTATCGGACGTCCGATCCTGACTTCTGGAGCGTCCGACAACTTCAGCATACTTTGTCCCCTTTCAATTGCACTTGTTCATGGAATCAAATAACTTCAAAACTGAAAGTATATCTTGAAGAAATATTAGTATCATCCATTTGTTTTGTAAACATCAAAAGATAGGGATCAAGATCAACACACAAAACTTGAGTTTTGGCAAGAATCAAATTTGGAAAACGTATAGCAGAGGTCTCAGACAGTGCTCCTTTATCTGAACATAACTCTTTGTACAAAAGTCAAAATTGAGTGCCATTTGCAGAATTCAAAACTAGACATTCGTAGCTTTCCAATGGTATAAAAATCTCCTGTTGGTTCATTTTGAGTGAACCGCAATGAGTCAGAAAAGTTGGCTGTTCTGTTTTGACTGTTCATACGAATGAAACTAGAAGCTTCGTTTTGTGGCTTGATTTTGTCCAATTTATGAAAAGATTTTCGGAATAATATCTTCTGATAAATTGTAGCCTTTGGAACATAGTTTCCAATGCCACCAACCATTCTCAATTTGAGTTTGTATAGAGTTAGATATGGCTTGATTTTGAAAACGCGGCAAAGCTGGAAACTGGAAGCTTTATCCTTTCTTGCTGACCGAATGGTAAAACCTGTTTTGGAGGGTAATATTTCAAAAATTTTAGTGTCATTTAACCATCAAATGCTTATTAAATGTTTCCAGAATCTTGGTTTCAAAAATGGAGTGAATTGGGGTTGATTTCATTGGACAAAACCTTTGGAAAGAAAGAAAGAGTGAGTTGGCAGATTGCTTTGAAAATTTCACAAACTTTGGTCGCTTTGTTAACTGCCTTCCCACATGATTTTTTGCCTATAATTTGATAGAGAGGTAATCCACATATGGGAGTTTAAGTGTACCAAATTTGGTGTAATTTCAATATCATTTCGATATCCAAATGATGCCCCAAAGATTGCTCTTCAAATCTGGAAATTTACCGATCAGTTTGCAAGATTCAGCTAAATTTAAACTGTTATATCTTGATGCTCAAAACTCCGAATTTAGTTTTGTTTGTCGTGTTTGGAAGCTTGTTTGGAACTATTATTGTGTTATGAATTTCAAGGGCTGATTCACTTTCTGTGAATTATGCCGAAGTTCCAAAGATTGCTGGAAAACCAAGACTGGTTCAAACCTGTCTTCTTGGAACTGAAATTTTGAGCTAAAAAATGAATACTTTCTGTTTGGAACTATGAAAAAGTGTCTTCTAGGAACTTTTAGCACTTCGAATCTAGTTTCCGATGGTATAAATTTTTCCATTTTTGGATATGCCAAACTTAAGATCTAATTTTTCAAAGATTGTCGCATAAAACTAAAATTTTCCGAATTCTTAAGAAATGAGTTTTTGAAAACTTGTCACTCTCTCTCGATATCGATAGACCATTTTAAACTCAATTTCATGGAAGAGGCAAGTCTCTCTTGGGACTTTAAATTCTCACTTTTGAACCTCGATTTTCGAGAGATTTAAAGTTCTCTTTCATGACATTGTCTTAGTATTGCACAAGTGTGCATTCTTTCTTGTTGGCAAGGGGTTTGTAAGTATTTGTGAGTGATAGTCAATTATTATTTCTTCAGGCGCTCAAGAGGATCTTCAAGAGAATTGCCTAAAAGGTTATTTGCTCACTTACTCTGTGACGGCCCCGCTTCCCCCTAAGACGAACCAAAGGGTTCAGCGGACCGCCTGCCCAGCTCTTGCCAGGGCTCGTTCATCACTTCAAATAAAATAAGATAAAACCTCAAGGAAAAGTAAAAGAAAAACCAATTCGCAACCTTGAAATGCATACTTACATTCATTTCTATCTCAAATTAATATACAACCCAAATATAACAAGAGTTTTAAGATCTAATACTTCCAATCCCTATTCGAGCACTAGAGCGAGTACAAATTGCAATAAAATTCAAAAGGACTAGACTATGCTATTCTATACAGGTCTCTCGCCCTTGCTCGCATCCCCTGTAAGGAAAATAAAACTAACGGAATGAGCTAAAAGCCCAGTGAGGTCCCGTACGTATAATTAAAGCAATTAAACAAGACATTAATCAGATAATAACAAGTCATTTAGAAAACATTCACAATATAAAGCAATGATAACACATTCATTAAAAGGATACATGCTCACATTGAGCCCTTCATTCATTCATTCCACCAATCATTCCTTATTCCTTCAACATTAAAATAATTTCATTTGTAAGTGAAAACTCCTCCATTGTTCCGGCCATTCATTCATTCATTTCATTTCCCCCTACTGGACACTGGCCAGTCTCCACCAGACTTCGTGATCATACTCGAGTATACCAAACATTAACCCAAGGTTACCAATCGCCCGACCGAGTCCGTTTCTGACTCGAGTCGACCGACAACGAAGGGCAAGGGCCCAGTTCAGCCAAAAGGCTTACATTCACTCGCAAGTAGCATTTAATCATTCATTCATTGAAAATTTCATATTCGTTTAGGTCAAGTGCGATAAAGTACACACTCGCCTAGCAAAATTTCATTTTGGCAATCACTAAAACATTCAACATTTAATCAAATATTCACAAATAGTCACAAGTCACAATAATCCACATGGACATAAGAAACATAACGTACGAAGAACACTCACCTATTTAAGAAAAATAACGTCCAAGGTATCCTTCCGGATAACACCCTCAATCACCAAGGAACCCTAATAGTAATCAAAAGAACACATTATGTTTCAACCATCAAAAACCTAAGTGATTCAAAGAGAATCCAAATACGTACTAGTGCAATATATAAATATGAGTTTTAAAGTGAAAAGAGTATATTTAGATCAGAGGACAGTAACTAAGAGTTTTCTCAAATCAAACACAAAACCATACTAAAAAGGTTTTTAGAAAATTCCATTGAAAAATAAATGAACAGTGCCACGTCAGAATCCGGCCAGATTTGCGGCCGAATTCAAGGCAGTGAGCATTCCAAATTTTTTTTCTTCTTCCCCTGTCAATCCGGCCAGCAATCCGGCCGGATATGAAAAATTAATTTTTTTCAAATTTTCGTAAAGCTTTTTGTTTGGTTCGAAACTAACACATACGCAAAGAAATAACGTATAACAAGTGTCTTGGGTAAAATCATATGAAAAGGAATCTAAACAAACCCTAAATGCACACCTAAAACCTCGCTTGATAAAATTAGGTTTTGCGGCCGAGAAACCCTAGGCAATTCTTCTTTGTTTCGGAAAGAAAATGAGTAAACATTTGAAGTTCAAAACTTGACATTTGTAACTAAGTATCATGCTTAAAATGGTTGTCACATTCACCATGCGAAAAGGTACAAATTCAAATGGAATCTAGTTCAAGTAACACCATTAAAGTGGACCTAAGTAAGTCTAAGAAAAGTAAGCCAACGCATCCCCAAATCACATTTCAAATCTCACTTTTACTTATTCAAACTTCAAGAAAATAAACGGACAGCATTTCCGCTTAATTTCTTCACTTTCCACTACAAGAAAAAAGGGCAATAGTGACAACATTTCCTAGTGATGACAAAAAGTCGTCACAAAATGAGGTTGTTTAGTCACGACATTGAAGGTTGTCACAATTGACTCAAAGCAACTAAGTTTTCAGTGACAACCATTAATTGTCGTCACAAAACTACATTGCGCCATGGGACTTGGAAGGCGGGAGTTTTGCGATAGTGACAACTTGATAAAAGTTATCAGTAATTCTACCTCTTTCTTTGACAACTTTTCATTGGTGTCACTATTTATATTTATTGACGACCAATTTTTGTCAGTAAAACTATACTGTAGTTAGTGACAACATAGTATCATCACTAACTTGAACATCTCCAATGCATTTATTTAATTGTGAGTCTCAATATTAATTTAATTTTTTTAAATTTTAATAATTTATTAAACTAGTCATAGTTACTCAAATAATAATAGGTTTTTAACTGGAAAAAATTAATGAAAGTTTCTAATTAGAACAACTATATAAACTATTACAACTTGAAAAAGAGTACATTTACCAGTTGTTCGAATTTAGCAAAAAATTTTCATCCATTATAACCTTTTAATAAATATGTTAAGAAGTAGTGATTAGAAATATATTAGTAAATTTAAATAAAAATTGAAGCTAAAAATTGACTTGGATTGTCTTGATTGACTAGTATCAAATATTTGTTCAAGCTAAACATGAAAAAAAATGGCCCGGGTATTATACAATATACACTAGAAAAGGAACCACTCTTACTGCCCACTTCCAGATGCCTTTAGTACTCTTAACACTCTCAATCCCTCGATCAACCCAACCCCCTTTATTCATTTTCTAAAACCTGAGCAGCAGTAGAGGCGACAATCGGCAGCTGCCGCCGTAAAAAAAGCAAATCTTCATGGAAATCCTGATGGGGAAGACCATCACCCTTGAGGTGGAGTCTTCTGACACCATCGACAATGTCAAGGCCAAAATCCAGGACAAGGAGGGGCATCCTCCCGAAACCAATAGCGCCTCATCTTCATCGGCAAGCAGCTGGAGGACGGCCGTACCCTAGCCGACTACAACAGCCGAAAGGAGCCAGAAGGAGTCCACCATCCACTTCTTTCTCCACCTCCGTGGTGACGCAACACCAAGCCCAAGAAAAAGAAGGCAAGTTTATCAGAAGGCTGGCGGTGATTGAGGGAACTCTGGACTAATTGTGCATTCAACGCTGAAGGGGATCGATGTGCTCTCCACCAACTCTCAGGTAGGTCCTCTTATGTCTCTCCTTGTTTCCCTAATTTTTTCCTCAATTAATTTGCCCTAAATTTTTCCCCAAATTTTTGGCAAAATTTTTACGGTGCCTATAGTTTGAGTTGTGGACTCCTTCTAGTAGAACTGTTTGATCTATAGTTGCAATTGCTTAAGTTATTTTTGTACAACCATGGGATGTAGACTTGATCACCCAATTCCATATGTGAGTCATGGTGACAAAATTCAATGGGTTTATGTGTGGGTGCGGTTTTGGCTTGGGACTAGGTGGGGCAAAAGTTGATGCCTAATTGGATGGTGGTGAAGGGAGTGGAAGAGAGCAAGGAGGTGATTATGGTACGATGTTGCTATGAGTGGCTGCTGGTGAGAGAAATAGTGGGTTAAATGGTGCTGGGTGGAGTGGGAATTGGGGAGTGATTAGTTGATTATCTATGTGGCTGAGCAAAGAGGTAGCACATTAAAGTTTAATCTTCAAAATTTCCAGAAAGCTTCAAACTTTGCTTGAAACTAAGCTAAACTAGAACCACCCATTAAAGTACCTACAGAAACGATTCTTGAAAGGGGTTCTTCGAAATTATTTGGATTTTTATCAAAAATCAAAGCAATAGCTACTGGCTCGTTGTTAATGAGCTTTATTAATTAGTAATAGTGCTAATAATAATATGTATATACATGCTATACATGCTGTTACAATTATCCAATGAAATGACAGAAAAGATTTGAAAGGTAGGAGGTGTGATTGGATGAATTGTGTGGTCTGTTTGAAGCTTTGGTCTTTTCTGGTAGACCAAATATATAGGCTGAAGATATCTATAATTATAGCCCTAATATACATAGGAAAAGAAATACAAATATATAGGCTGACGATATCTATAATTATTTTCCTAAGTAGCATGCTGGTCAATTTGATATTTGTGATTGTTTTCATGGTCAATCTAATTATTCTACACAATTGTATGGTGGTCATGCATGCTATATGATAACATCATGATTTCTCCTTAAAGTTTTAGTAATTGTTTTTCTTTTTTGACTTCTAGTTTATCTCATGATTAACTAATCATACAAGTAACTTGAAACCTATTATAACTTAGAAAGCATCATTCTAAGTTATGAATATGGAATTCATTCCAGTATGCTACTTCCAACATTGAATTGTACTCATATTCCCTTTTCATATATTGTTGATTTGGCGTGCTACTTATATGCATATAATTATATAAATCAATATAGTGTGGATTAGTTTCAGGTAAATCACAAAAATTACTTTATTTCTCTTAGATTTGATTGATTTCTTATTTTTTGTAGCAATTGAAGTTGTTGACATAGGCTTAGGGTCTTCCTCGGATATTCTCATTGAGTTGCATTTTTCACTTTGAGGTACTTTACAGGCACTCTCCCTCAGTCCTTTTTCTTTTGTTTAGTAATCATGAGTACACTTTACTAGAATTTTTGCTTTGCGAATGACCTACAAAAATGTACTGCTGTTCACCAGTACTAATGTTTATTTAAATTATAAGCATTGAGTTGTCATCTGATGATAACGCTGATTTAATAGTACATCATGTTCATATTTGTTTTACTTTTAGCACATGCACCTGATTGTGATCAATTTGAATGATAAAATTTGTGTTTCATTACTTTGGAGTTTCTTTGTTGCTGTTTGCGATGATTAGTTTCCCCAATTTAGTTATTGTGCCTTCATTAAAATAATCTTGGATGCATATATCTTTATGTTAGGATACAAGACAGAGAAAACATGGCTAGGAGTTGGATGATTAAAAACTACCTAGATCCCAAATATTTAGATGGAGTTGGATGTCAATTAAAACTTTTTACTGCCTCATTAATCTAAGGCTGTTTATGCCAATAAGTGATTCATTGAAAAGGAAGGATAAAAAAATCATGAAAATTTTCCTTATGAAACTAAGGTGGCTATTTAATTTTGTTGTTTGTTTTGATTTATTTGAGTATCAATTTACAAGAACGAATAGGTAGTCTTTGTGTATCCCTTTCTTTATAGATGAATCCAATAAAGACTATTTGTATTCGTCTTGTGTTTTTAATTTCATTCTCAGCTGTGAAATTAGTCATGTACTATTAGATTATAACAGATTTGTCCCTAGTCAGTCAGATTGAGATACGAATGCCACTTTGGTTAGTAGCATCCCTAGAGATTCTGTTGTGAATAAGATTCTGCAGCATGATTCTAATGCGATACTTGCCAAGTTTGCTACCTTGCTGTCATAAACATGTAAAATTGCCAGATAATCAGGAAACATGCTAATTCGGTTGCTTTAGATTAGGGGATTTGTCTGGTTCTAATGACTTTATTAGCCTATTGTAATCTCTCAGGTTTCTAGAATACCTGAGAAAATGAGCGAGTGTGGACTTTAATTGTATCAAAAAGTTTGCTATCCAACATCACTATTATTCCCTTTTTTTGGTGGTGTGAAAGACTTGGCATTATCATTGTTAATTATCACTTTTAAGTTTCATTTCCTTATGATATTCTAGGAAGAGTTGTCTTATGTGTTTTTTTGTAATGTTAAATGACGTATTGAGACTGATAGAATAGAGAATTTTCTTAAAGATGCAACGGAATGATCTTTTGACTAGGATTTTTGTAAGAAGCTGGCATGGCTTTTCAAGCAAGCTAGGAACTTTTTGTGCCTTTTAATTGTTGGAGAAGATCAATTTGATGAATTTCTTTTTGGATGATTACTCCTTCCTTTGACATGCTAAAATTGCTACCATTCTAAAGGTCATGCTAGAAAACCTGTTGTAAAGTGGATTGAGGTACTCTTGCTCTGCCTTCTTTCTAGACAGGCTAGTGGTCAAGTTGATCATTTTTTACGTGAATATTAACAATACTTATGTTACTGGATGCATATTTAGGTCCATAATTTTAGAAAAGGCAGTAAAATTACCTCTATGAAGATGGTTCAGCTGATGCAACAAGAAAATTAACCCCAAACCATTTTTCCAAAAGCTGGCTTTTTTATCAAGACGAGTTAGAATTCCCAGATGCCAAAAGGTGCTTCTTATCAATAAGCTTTTGCTTTTGTGTGGAAATATAGACAACCAGTATTTGTGCATGCATCAACTCCAAACCATTTTTCCAAAGATTTTAAGCACGATTTTATGGTTAATATGTTTATTTCACATGCAAGTGCTTTCCTACTAGCATAGTCTCTCAAAAAGTCACCTTTAGATCTGGTTGGCATGATAAGAGGACAAATTTCTTGGCTACAAGTTGATGAACTAAAATTTTTTTGTCTTGTAAGATGCAACTTTTACAAGTTGTTATATTTAATTAACTCATAGATTTTAACAATGTAAAACATATAATAAATAAATTCTAACAAATGTGAGATAGCTTTAAAGCTGATAACTTGTGTTCCACTCCTTTGTTCCAAATGGATGTCCTAGCTAGAGTCGGCTCTACTTTAAAATGAACTTAGATAACAATAATGTTTGAAACTTAAATAAGAAGTGGGAAACACATGGATTGCATTATGAATTGAATTTAATAAATGGAGAAGGTTGGGTAACAAGTAGTCAATGGTAAAATTGAGAAAATCGTTACCACTCTTTTTCTTATTGCATGGCATTAAATGCAAAGTTAGACATCAATTTATCGTGAGCAGGGAGTAAGTTGGGATCTTAGTAGATCCACAGAATCTTTATATTGTATAAGATCAAGTTTCCTAAACCTTCACAAGTCCAGCTGGGTACCCTTTCCTTGACTAACTTTTATGTATAGAACTCAAGTATGTAGAAATTTATCAGGAATAGAGGTGTTTGAGGACACTTTTTGATTTGATTGTATTTATTGATTGTCTTGTTTGTAAAGTCCTAGGAAGGCCTTGTTCCTTCAACAGCATGTTTTCTCTATCCTGTCATGAAAAGTATGTACAGCCATTTGCTAGCTATGATTTCTTGCATATCTCTGCTTGTAGTTGGTTTTCTATTACTGTTTTGAGTGTGTGTAAAATGATATCCGATAATTTACTATTCGAGTTAGAGATAATATTCAGTCAAAAAATTCTTTGTTAGTTGGCTCCATGACTTTGTTAGGAAGACATGTTAAGCCACTCCGTGAAAAGCTAGTAATATTTTTGTTTGGCCTTGAGTAGTTTGTTAAAAAGGTATTGACCTCACTAATACTTAACTAGCTAACTTCTAAGCTAATTTGGGATATTGTCCTTGTTATGTTAATTTTATGCCTTATTTGTTCTTGTCTTGACTAAGATTCTAATCGTGATTGAGTTTTGTTATAGGTAAATATAAGATAGTTTATTTTTTTGCTCAAGCTACTTGTTACCTACTAATTATTATACTACTTTATGCAGACTTGTATTGCTTGTTCAAACTCTTTTGGCCTCTAATCCACAGCTACTAATTGATTGAAGAACAATGAAGACAAGGTTGTGTTTTGCTCTTGAAGTGTTTCGGCAGTAGCTACTAGCTAAGTTTAGGACTTAGATTTATTTTTGTAAAGCTGTAGCAGGATGTTGAACTTAAGTATGATATTTTGGCATTTCGAATGTAATGGATGTCTTCTGTTTTTAATTAGCAGGCTTTGTTGTTATTTTTCTCAATTCGTAAATTGAATTGTTGGATTGATTAATTCCAGTATAATTTTCTTTATCAAACTACACGGTTACAGTATATTGTCACTAATTAGACTTCTCCACTGACAATGAAATGTTGTCATTAATTAGTATCTCTAAACTTAAAGCCTACAGTGATGACAAAAAGTTGTCAATATGACGTCTATTTTAGTGACAAGCGTGAACCAAAGTTGTTAGTAATTAGTCAATACAAGCAACAATCATCAAGAAGTTTCAGTGACAATGTTATTGTGGCCATCACTGGCAAGATATAAAGTCATCACTATATTTGTACTTTTTATTGACGAAGTGAGTTGTCAGTAAAGAATGCTATTTACTGACGACATATAAAGTTGTCACTGTACATCTTTACCGACGGGCATTCACTGACGACTCTGTGGCGACTTAAATGTTGTCAGTAATTGTCATCAGTGACGACTTTTACTTTTTTTGTGACAAGAGCTTGTTGTCATTGATGACCTTTTTTCTTGTAGTGTTCCATCCTACAATCAAATACCAAATCTCATCCAAAATCAAATACAATTTCACATACAAATCATAGGCGATAAAACACCTTTCGGCATAACAACCACAACTGAAGCTATACTTATCGGATTGAAACAAATCTTATGGCGTTTCGAAGCCAAGACATATACCTACATTCCTAATGAAGGCCTCCAAAGCCAAATCAGGCATTTTTATGGTCAAAAATTGAAATCACAGAGAGGACAGAAAACTGTCCATGAAACAAGGCTCATGGGCAGTCAAGGGTATTTCGGTCATTCCATAGGCTACAGTACTCCGATTGAGTTGAACTTTTACCAGTAGCTAGATAACTTAAATACCAACAACTTTTATGTTTTGGGCAAGAGCTGATTCGGTCTCTCTCAAGGTCGAATATACCGTGCAAAAATAGGATAGATTACTACCAAAATTGGAAACCCTAATCTGGAATTTGTACATATAAACCAGGAATTTCTTTAGGCAAATGAAATTAACACCAAAACACTAGATTTTTAACATATCAAAACTAGTAAATCATCACCAACCATTAATCATCACATGTGAGCAAAAATTACACCATAAAATTGAAAGTTCCTCAATCACCACTTCTAACCAAGAAATATTGCATAAAACTTCCAAAGTGGCAACCACAAGCCACTAATTTACAACTACTAGGAACAAAGGAAGGTGTTCATATCAATTTACCTTAGAACCTTAAGGAGAATGGTAGCTTAGTCTTTCCTCCTCCAAAACAACTCCACCAACACCTTTAAGCTTTCCTAGTGATCACTTGTATGGAGTAGATTCAAGTTTGGTTGGCTAGAACACAAGATTTGAGCAAGTTTGGAAGCTAAAATTGAAGAGCTCTCTCTTTTGTTTTCTCCTCAAGAGCAACCGGCCAAGACAAAGAAAATTGATCAAAAATTGGTCAAAAATTGGTTTTAGTAAAGGTGATGAATAGTAAGTCAAAAGCCATCCTCCAATGGTATCATAACACTTGGCCTTTCTAGTGTTTTCCCTAATCCTTTGGCTTCCAATGGTTACATCATATAACAAACCTCTAATTATCCTCTAGCACCTTGTAAAATAATAACACTTAGCACAAAACTCACTTAGTCACCAAAATTATATCGCACTTACCGTACTAGCGGGTTCCACGTCTATAACGCACTTCAAATTAACTTACACTAACTCATACTACGAAAATGATTTTAAAACTGTACTTACTTACAAAAATGCATAGAAAATTTAATATTTCCACGAAAAGTATAAAATTTAGGCAAAGAAATAAAATAATGCTGAGAAAATGTGAAAATTTTTGGGTTCTCACATACTCACTTTTTGACTTGATGAGTGTCAAATGCATGATTTGTTGTGGAATACGTGAATTGTTTCTTGTTAATCATGAGAATTAGAATTGTCGAGACGAATGTGTACTTTATCGCACTCGTTCACTTTTAAACAAAATTATGATCGAATTTCGCTATGTGAATTGATATTCGACTTGTGTGAAGTGATGTGGTTGTGAATAGTATTTGTGATTGTCAATTGGAGCGTTGTCTCATCGACTTATATTCGTATTCAGGGGATGGCCAAACTCATAGGCTAACCTTGTGACTCGAGCCGGTATTGGCTTGGTTGAGAAGCTTGGTGAACTATGAGATATTCGTAAAGATTGATCTATTTGAGAGATCTCGCTTGGCATACTCGAGTAGTATCGCCTTTTAAAATGATGAGCAGGTCCGGGACAGGGGGTGTAACGGTGAACGAGATTCGTGAAGTTAAGTGGTGTTCTACTGACTAAATATACCTACCCGGTTAACTGAGTGTCATCACGCGGAGGTATATGATCGAGACTCAGCAAAGCAAGTGGAATCTAGCTCCTGAGAGCTCCTGTATCCTTATTGAGTGTGTTTTATTTTAAATTGTGAATTACTTGAATGTTATAGCTTTATTTCTCGCATAAGTGCTATTGCTACTTGAACTATGTGTTTGCATGCTTTTCTTGGCCTCATTGAGTATTAGCTCATCCCATTAGCTTTGTTTTCCTTAACAGGAGCTGAAATAGAAAGAATTATGGAGAAGCCAACTTGATGGAGTTTTGATTAGAATTTTGAATGTAATTATTTAGACAACTTTTGGACGTTGTATATTTTGTGGAATGTTGATGTACTTTTGGTATCTTGTGATGTAAGAATTGTATATTTATTAAGGAAGCGACCCTTTCTTTATATCTTCGACTTTTAGTATTGATTGATTTTTCACAAGTTGAATTCGTCTCGTAGTGAGTCCTGGCGAGAGTTAGGCAAGCGTCTCGCCGATACCCTTGGGTTCGCCCTAAGAAGAAGTGGGGGCGTCACAGTTGGTATCAGAGCACTAGGTTTAGAGATCTATTTGGAAAATATATTAGAGACTTTACCCGCGAGAATAGGAATGAGATAATTTAGTTATACCTTAAGTAATGTTTGAGCGAGTTAGTGACTTTAAGTTTCTAACCCGGAAATTGTGGTTGTTTTGTAGGGATGGAGAATGGTAATGGAGAACACGCTACTAATGGTAATGGACTCACTCATGGCCACGTGGAGCCTCTTAGGCCTATTTACTAACGAGCACTTGGTGGAGGGACTCGCGTTCGATTCTCGCCTTCTTCTAGGTTTTTCTATTGTCCCTGTAGGGCGACACATGCTTACCCTAATGACTTGGTACTGTCCATTGATGATAAGCATTGTCAGTTGGTGAATACCAACAAAGCTTTACTCCAGGAGGTCGAGGAGCTGAGCATTATGGTGAACGCTCAGGGCGCTAGGATTGCGGAGTTAGAGGGGATGGTAGTGGACGAGCTGGTTAGGGCTGAGGGCGCTCATGATGAGCTACAGAGGACTAGAGCTCGACTGACTAGGGTAGTCGAGGAGGTTAAGGATCGGGCTGCTGGGATATTGGCTGACACCATTATGCTGATAGATGAGGTGGTAGAGATAGTCGAGAGCCCGGTTCCTGAGGAGGAGCCTTTTGAGGAGGATCCGGAGGAGAACCCAGAGGAGAAGGTCCCGCCTGATAGTCCTGCTGAGGATTAGACTAAGAGTGATAAATCTTTTGACTTTTGTAGTTAGGATTAGTTGGGGTGGTGCTTTTTCAAAAGCCGTTGTATTTTGCTTAATTGTGTGGCCTACTTTTAAGGCACCTAAATCCACTTTTGTCGTGCATGACTAAAAGTACTTTTGTGGCACCTGTGTGTTATATTTTTGTAAATACCTCATGACTTGCTAATTGTATGAACCTTAAACTGTTAATATATGTTAGTTATTGCTATTTCCAATATTTTGATGTTGGCTCTTATTTTAAGAATTTTCCCGCGTAATTATTTTATTTCTTGCATTAGGCATAACTAGGATTATGGACGGATGAAGGAGTGGTAGAGGTCGAGGGTGTGGGACTAGGCAAACCTAACCTCAAGGAGATGATCAAAGATCGGCAACTGGACCGACCCAAGGACAAGAAAATGTAGAAGGTAACCAAGTGACTACTGTCATTAATCGGATGACTGATATTCTAGAACGATTAGCAGAGCGATAGGGTCTAGGGCCAATTAACCAACCCGGGGCCCAAGATAGAGGGGAGGATAGAGCCTTGGAGAGATTTTTGAAATTCACTCCGCCTAAATTTATTAGGGGATCTAATCCCGAGTTAGCGAAAAATTGGCTGGAACGAATGGCTAATATTTTCGCCGCCTTAGACTATACGGAAGAGAGGCAAGTGAACTTTGTTGCCTTTCAATTTGAGGGCGTTGCACGTGCTTCGTGGGATGTGATAAGGGGAAAGTGGGAAAGAGCACAGATCCCTTGGACTTGGAAAAACTTCACGAGGAAGTTCAATGAGAAGTTTTTTCCTCCTTTGATCCAAGAGAAGCGGGAGGACGAATTCATAAAGTTAAGGCAAGGAACCTCTAGCATGGCTGAGTATGAGGGGAAGTTCACTAAACTTTCTAAGTACGCTGCAGAATTGGTGACTAATGAGCGGAAAAGGATAAGGCGCTTTATGCAAGGATTTAATGTGAAAATCCAAGAGGGGTTGGCAGCAGCCCAAATCTCTACGTTCACTGAAGCCATAAAGAAAGCGCAAAGAGTCGAAAGCGCAAGGCTACAAGTTAGGGACTTCCATACTAAGAAAAGGAACATTCCTAGTTACTCTTCTGGACAAGCCAGTAAAAGTGCCCCACTTTTCAAAATGGGAAGGGGAACGGGAGGAGTAAGGACCACTGGAGCTCCAACAGGAGATTTATCAAGAGGAGGTCGTAGTGGACAAGGTCAAC